ATTCTTCCAAAGCAACAACCTTTTCTGTTTTTGCTGGTGAAAGTAGTGATGTGAGCGAGCACTTTGACACATTTGAGGTTGTTGGGGTTTGACTTTTTTGTTTGGGTGAAACATGTGACAAAATGAGGCCAGGTGGTGGTTTCAGTGCTAACGGGCTGATAGGCGCCGCTGTTAGATGCTTCTGGGCTCGCTCTGACAATGAGACAGTCGCGCTACCAAAATAAGGAGTATGGCAGCTGGAAGAGGCGGCTGTGCTTGAATTTGAGTGATCAGATGCTGAGAAGCCAGCTCAGACAGCGATAGTGTGGGTGTTGCATCTGCACACTTGACAGAAGGTACTCCACTAATGGAAGTGAGCAAGGAGTTACTCAAAACCGGACCCGCTGTTCATGTGGATTAAATCAGCCAATGATAGACTGCTTTTAGGGTTGCCCATCAATGAATGATTGTTTTGCAGAACAGAACTGAGACTTCCAAACGCTGGAGGAGGAGCTAAAATGGAGCTTCTAATCTTGGGAGTGATTGCTGGCAGATCACTGAGTGGAGTTGAAAGGATGAAGTGAGAGGATGTGTTTGGTTCAGAAGGAGCCATCAAAGATGTCAAAGGTCCAACTTGAAGGCTACTCTGATCGTTGGCCCTGAATCAGAAGTTTCACTCAAAGTGTTTGAGGGAACGTCTAAGCAAAACTTTCCATCAGACGTGAGCTGAGACAAACTGGAGCTGTTACTAACGCCTCCACGAACATTTTCATGCTGAAAATTGAACAGATATTTCTCCAGGTTCTTTCTGAATCTTTGGTGAGGTGACTAGAATCAAAGTCTTTTTGGGATAGTTTAATGTCTCAGTGATTCTTCTCACGTTTTCAGTATTCCTGGTGGGTGCAGTCGGTTCTTGTCTGCAGTCAGACGAGTCTGGACTGCAGTCAGAGTCTTGCTGGACTTACTACATTTCTTGTTGAAATTCCTCACATTTCCAACCACTTCTAGGCTTTTCATGTCAGATGAAATCTCAGCTTTTTTAGATGGAAAAACTGGGACAGTCGTATCTTGTCAGGAAAGTTGAATTTCTCAATGGATTTCAGAACATTTCCATTGGGAACTTTAACGGCACCTTCAGTCATCTTTAGTTCTACCATTTTCTGTGACTAGACTGGGACTGAATTCTTCTCCGGATTGCTGAATTTATTCATGAGCATTCTCACACATTTGTTGCAAGTTTCCATCGAAAGAGTGGATTGCTGTTGGTAGCTGCTGAAAGACTGCGTCTGATGAGTGGCTCACAGATAACTGTTCTGAGTTAATGCTACTTGTTGTAATAGGTGTATAGACGCATTAGGATGTAATCAGATAAAAAGACTATTAAGCCCTGCCCCCAACAATCAGCACCAATGACAACACTGTTGGCCCTATCCCTGTTTCTAGGCAACTAGAATCGCTTATTAAGGGACCTTCTGCTGTGCCAGCAAGCAGGGCTCTCATTCTTGTGCACCAGAGGAGTTTTTGGACATTAATGCAGCTCAAATGGCTGCATGTACCCGAACACATTTTACATCAAAATGACCGGCTTGGCTGTGGGAAGTGTGGTGTGTCATGATTTTGGGTTGTTCACCCCAACTTTACACCAATATCATGATTTTGGGTTGTTCACCCCAACATTACACCATCTTAGGTGTGTTCTTGCTGTGTCTTTGTAAATCCATGCTTTCGTTCTTTTTTAAACACAGAAACAGTTTTGTTTACCTGTTTGTAGCTACAGTTTCGCCGACAGCTGCCGGCTTCTTCAGGCTGACGCTGATGGTGGCGCGTCACTTCCTTCTCCGTTTATCTGCGGGCAGCAGAGGACGTTGTCGCCCTCTACTGCCCGCTCTCCCCTCTCCGACGATGCAGTCCCATGCGTGGTCCAGCGTGTAAACTCCGTCGTCCCTGTTCATGGTCCCACATCCACGTCTCCTTATCTCTATTGCTTCCTTGATCCATCTTTTGTATTTCTGTTGTTCGGTGGTTATGATCCGTGTGCTGTCCCAGTCCATTATATGGTTTTCTCTTAAGCAATGATCTGTTACGGCTGACTTCTTTATTGTATTTTCTGCTTCTTCTTTTGCTGCTCTTGTGTGTTTACGATTTGCCTCTTTCTCGCACTCCTTTCTGTGTTCTATTGTCCGTGTATTGAGTTGGCGTCCGGTTTCTCCTATGTGTGTTTTATTGCATATTTTGCATGGGATTTCGTAGATGACTCCACATTTTTGTCCAGCTGATATTTTGTCTTTTGGGTGTACTAATCTGTTTCTAACTGTTGTGTATGGCTTTGTTGGTGTGTTTATGTTGTGTTTTTTCATTGTTGCTCTTATTTTTTCCGTTATGCCTCTGATGTATGGTAGGGTTATCACTGGTTTTGGCAATAAAACATACATAGGAGAAACCGGACGCCAACTCAATACACGGACAATAGAACACAGAAAGGAGTGCGAGAAAGAGGCAAGTCGTAAACACACAAGAGCAGCAAAAGAAGAAGCAGAAAATACAATAAAAAAGTCAGCCGTAACAGATCATTGCTTAAGAGAAAACCATGTAATGGACTGGGACAGCACACGGATCATAACCACCGAACAACAAAAATACAAAAGATGGATCAAGGAAGCAATCGAGATAAGGAGACGTGGATGTGGGACCATGAACAGGGACGACGGAGTTTACACGCTGGACCACGCATGGGACTGCATCGTCGGAGAGGGGAGAGCGGGCAGTAGAGGGCGACAACGTCCTCTGCTGCCCGCAGATAAACGGAGAAGGAAGTGACGCGCCACCATCAGCGTCAGCCTGAAGAAGCCGGCAGCCGTCGGCGAAACTGTAGCTACAAACAGGTAAACAAAACTGTTTCTGTGTTTAAAAAAGAACGAAAGCATGAACATTACACCAATATCATGATTTTGGGTTGTTCACCCCAACATTACACCAATATCATGATTTTGGGTTGTTCACCCCAACTTTACACCAATATCATGATTTTGGGTTGTTCACCCCAACTTTACACCAATATCATGATTTTGGGTTGTTCACCCCAACATTACACCAATATCATGATTTTGGGTTGTTCACCCCAACTTTACACCAATATCATGATTTTGGGTTGTTCACCCCAACTTTACACCAATATCATGATTTTGGGTTGTTCACCCCAACATTACACCAATATCATGATTTTGGGTTGTTCACCCCAACATTACACCAATATCATGATTTTGGGTTGTTCACCCTAATGTTACCCCAAAATCAAGATTTTGGGTTGTTCACCCCAGCGTTACACCAGTATTGTGATTTTGGGGTGATCGCCCCAACGTTACACCAATATTGTGATTTTGAGGTGATTGCCCCAACTTCACCCCAATATCATGCTTTTGGCAAGCTGGTCAGCCGTGAGAATTATGGTATATTTGGGTGATGACCCAAACATTACCCAAATATCATGATTTTGGGATGATCACTCCAAAGTCACCTAAATAAAATAAATTAGGGGTTTTCACCCCAACATCACTAAGATATCATGATTTTTGATTGTTCTACCTCAATGTGGCCCAAATATTATGATTTTGGGGTGATCACCATGATGTCAGCCCAATATCATGACTTTGAGCCTCTTTAACACATGGCCACTCTCTTTTGCCATTGAGCAGATCCTTTTTTAAATTTATTCAGAAATTTTCTAGTTTATTATTTAATTTTTTACTTGTCCTGTCAGTCGATGCAGACAGAGTAGTATATATATATATACATGTAGATATACATGTACATGTGTGTGGTATGAGCAGAGCAAGCTTGTGATGAGTGTGTATGTTTTTGCTGCTTGGGCGGACACACATTTCAACGGCAGAACCGAAAGCAATACAAATGTGTGCAAAGGTGCAGGTTTGAACGAGGTACAGGAGACATAGGGGACAATCATGGAGGGACTTAGGATAACAGTGGGAAAGTGTTCCCAATGTGGGTTCATGTCCACCTGTCTCCATTTAGCCCTGTCTTCTGCTTCCACAGCCTTTACACATCTGACTTCATGTCGTCTTTCACTGGATCTATAAATCCCCTCGTGGTTTTTCCCTCAGCGTCTTACCTGGTGGCTTCAGCCTCAGCATCCTTCTGTAATCACTGTGTCTCCTCTGGACATGTCCAAACTATTCAAGTCTAGCCTCTCTGACTTAAGCTCCTCGTGATTTTTATCATTAGAAGCGCTATACCAATAGATGGTTTTCTTTCTTAATCTCTAAATGAATAAATATAACACAGCTGTGGAACATTTCTTTAACCTGTATTCTTATTGGTGGAATGATAATGAAGTTGAATTAAACCAAATCTGAAATTCCCTTTAAACAATGTAAAACTGATGGCAGTGTAAAGGGTAATGAAAAACTTTTAAGATGAGCAAAAACCCACTGTGGTCTTGGCTGTGTGTAAACTAGCGGTTAGCTCGTCAGTCCTGCAGAAGTTAAACGCTGTTGTTCCAGACTGAGGCCCTTCAGGAAGCTAGCTACAACAGCTAAGATGTTAATTATTTATCAGGTTCCCTTCCAAACATACAAAAAACACAAAGATCAGATCTGTCTTTCAGCACATCGACGGATTTTATGTCACAGTGATCTGAATTTAATTCAGTCAACCTGCTTAATTTGGATCATTTGCTTATTTTGATGTTTGTTATTTTTCAAATTGTGCCATTTTGATCTGATCAAGGTTAATACTAAGTGTACAGGTTTCTTAGTAAGTGTGGGCTGTACTAGTGAGCCTGTACCTGATGCTGCGGCCTTTGTAGTGTGACGCTAAATTACCACATAATTGAGAGATATGTGGTATTTATTCTGACTGTGATGAATGTTTGACTTTTAAAATGAGAATGTGTTAAAATATTTTAATTCTGTGCATGCATGCGCGTGTGTGTGTGTGTGCGTGTGTGTGTGTGTGTGTGTGTGTGTGTGTGTGTGTGTGTGTGTGTGTGTGTGTGTGAGACTTACCTTCTTGATGTCGTCCAGAGTGTGTATTTCCGGTGAAAGTCCTCCATGCACACACAGGAACTGCTGGTTCATCAGCGCTGCCAGTGGCAGGCAATCAAACGCCTCCATGCAGGAATCGTACACCTGTTCTGAGTACTTGATCTTACCTGGAGGGGGAGGAAGACTGGAGGTCTTTATTGAGTCAAGACAAAAGAAAAGAGTTCTTTGTTTATGTGAGGCACACAGAATGTGGAGCTTTTAGCCAGACAAACATTCAGAATTATTAATGCATGTGGCCGTCACGTCTTCAGTCTGTTTTCCTTTGTTTTAGCTAATATCTGGAGACGGTTTCTCTGCTCCAACACACTTGATTCAGTGGTTCAGCTGTGCAGCAGCTCATCAGGCCCCGCAGAAGGCTGTTAATCACCTGCCGATTGAAATCAGGTGTGTTGAAACAGGGTTAGAACTAAAACGTGCTGGATACCAGTCCTCCAGGACCAGGATCAGGCATCGGTGGATTAGAGTCCTCACAGAAGCTACGTATACCTCATGATGATGTCAGCTGCATCCAACATGAGACAGCAACTTTCAAAAAAGCAACGACACGTCTGAGAGGAAACCGGAGTGGATTTAAAAAGTTAGGGGAGGAGGAGACAAAAACCAGATAAAAGGGAGGTGATAAAGGAGAAAAGTTGATGTGAGGAGCAGGGTGAGAAGTTAGGAGAAAAGGAGACTAAGGAGGAGGGAACAGAGTGAGAGGGTAGGAAAACACCAGTGTTCTAGGCTACCAGCATAGAATACCCGGCATTTCTCGTGTGTGTGTGTGTGTGTGTGTGTGTGTGTGTGTGTGTGTGTGTGTGTGTGTGTGTGTGTGAGAGAGAGAGAGACAGCGAGGTGTGTTTGTCAACCTCTCCATCTGCCTCGTGTAGAGCTAGAGCTCATTACTGCCAGTCCACCAGTTGTCAGTTCCTTCCACAATCTCAAACATTTATGAAGACACCCGCACATGCGCACATGCACGCACTTGTCACACACACTTTCAAATGCACACACACACACACGCGTGCACGCGCACGCACATGCACATAGCAGATGGTAATTGAGGGCAACCACTATTCGCCATGAGCACTGAGGGAAATTAGCTTCTTCATCCCCTGGCCAATCAGACACAGAGAAGTAAGTCCCGGAGCCAATCATTAAGGGCCAAATTAATTTGCTGCTAATCACCCACTCTTGGACAGGATGCCAAAACTCGCTAGTGGAAGAGTCAGAAAGACATACAGAGAGATGCTGAGCGAGGGAGGGAGGAGAAAGATGGAGGAAGGATGGAAGGAGAGAATAAGATTGCATAATGGGAAATGAGAAAGGGAGGAAGGAGGGTGAGGGGAAGAGATCTAGCACTCAGCTTATTAATTAAACAATTAGTAAATGTGATGATTAGGTAACAGAAAATGAATCAGCAACTGTATCTGTTTGAACAATTAGACGTCCCCATGTTCGTGTTAATAAAGGAGAGAGTGAAAAATGCCAGGAGTGCAACAAAAGATGCTCGATATTGGCTTCTTTAAAACAAAAAAACAATATCCATTATTGTATAACTTTTCATTTACAACACCGATATAAACCAATACCGATATACGCAGCCCCCCATATTTAATTTGTCTCCAGCAGCAGCTGAATGACATCCTTGAGATAATCCAGACTAACACACAGTGACGCCTTTAGGCCAAAGAAAATGATTAAGTTCATGATGGTAAAAGGTTTGATTCATAAGTTAATAATTAGTATAAGTGAATTAATGATAAAAAGGTTTAGGTTTTGAAAACAGATCAAAGTGAGACATCGCTGTTACAATCTTTTTATGCTATCCCTGACGTAGCTTCCGTTTTCTCTGCTGGACTTCCGCTCCGTGTGTTTACATCAAAACAAGAAAACAAACGGATCATAAACACGCAGATTTTGCTTTACAGGTTTGTGCCTTGGAGAACATTTGTCTCTGTAAGTATCGATTTGTGTAGGAAATGTTTGGCGTGTGTTAAAGTTACTTGGCTGATAAAATGTAAGCACACATGCAAAGCTAGGCTAATTGCTAAGCTAGGCTAAATGCTAAACGTGACTCTAACGTATGTAATAGTCAGTAATGTAGTATTTATGTTTCTGTATATTGTAGTTACGGTAATAAAACATTTATAAAGATCTTTTAAGAAAAGCAAGCCTTGGGTGAAGATTCATCTGCTTGTTCTAGTTGGTTGTTAACTAGCGACACATAGCTTTGTGTTGTTGGGGAAAGAAGATCCTTTAAACACAGGTTCTTAATTATTCACGAGTTGTGCCAACAAAACCCTAAAATATCTCAAACACTAAATCTCAGATCTGTCTTATTCCATTTTTGGTTCTGTTTTAAAACACAGGAAATGTTTCTCTTTACCTTACAATGGGACTAATCCCATAGCAAATATCAGACCTGTCTTATATTGGCATTTTGAGCGAGAGGAGAAGTAGCCAAAGAGTTTGATGTGTATGTGCATGGTATGTAAAACTTGGGTCACTAAAGGAGTAAAATCTGATAGCAACATTTTCCGATATTACGTTTTAATTACGGTACATTTTAAGGCCAATATCGGCCGATAATATTGGTTGACCGATAATATCGGCCATCCCTACAAAAGATGCATGTAACGGGCTTGTAGCATTAAGGAGGAACGTTTTTACTAGAATTCTACATGAAAATTTGATATGTGAGCAGTCTTTGTTTGGAGAAATACAGATTACTTCTGGCTAGTCTGATAAGCTAATGGCTAGCTGGAGCAGGAATGAGACCAAAGTGGGGATTCATGCTTTTCCATAACAACTCCAAATAATCTACAATAATCTTTAAATATCCCATTTATTCATCAATGCTTTGTAAACTTTTATATAGCCAGAATTATTTTAGTTATTTAGATCAAAAATGCTATAGCTAACTAGCTATGCTATGAATTTTAGCTGCAAACAACTAAATTATTTTTATTACTATCTGAAATATGAAAGCGATACTGATATAAAAATGTGTATTAATGAAAAATGGAAGTAGTTTGATTCACTTTTGCGCAGGGATTTTAAGCAGCCAGTTTCTGCAAACTAAGAAACAAAAAGGTTATTGTGAATTTGTAAACAATGTTTTCATGCAGAAGTAGAAATTTATCAGTTTTTGAATTTAATTTCTTTCTGATTCTCCAAACCGAGGCTGATCTGACCGCTGTGTACTGCAGGTAGTATACTTATCGAGGAAACATGCTGCTCTCTACCTGAACTTTAACCTTTATAGCAGCTATGTCCCTTCTTTCTCACTCTGTCCTGGACCACAACAGAGCCGACACTTTATCGCATCACATTCACGATTCTGATTTTAGAAATAAAAAGTTTTTTCAATCTGATCACCTGGATTTTAAAATGAAACATAAAAACTATCAGTTCTTACGATGCGATCTGGTTGATTTTAACGTTTCTTATGGCACTCACTAACAGCACAACACTGATCACAACCAACCAGAGGACATTGATTTGCTTATATCATCTAGTCATCAATAAAACATGTTTTCCAGCCTTCGTTTTACAAAAAAAGCTAAAAGCAAACACCTAAAATGAATAAACGGCGAGAGTACGACAACCAGAATGAGTTAATGTTGGAGGAAAGAAAGGAAAAAAGGACACGACTCACATTCTTGTTTGAAGGTAAAGTATTCTGTCAGATGTCTACATTCATGGTTTCCTCGTAGAAGAAAAAGGGTCTTTGGGTATAGGATTTTCAGTGACCAAAGGTACAGCACGCACTGGAACGTTTATGGGACAAAAGGAAAACATGAGTAACCAAACAGCTCAGCATTTACAGCAACATTCAGCTTTAACAACAATACTGTCTGTGCAAAACAATGAATACGAGAAATCCAGCAGCTCAATTTATGAAGTTGTAGAACCTTACCTTTAAAAGAACCAGGTTTCTTACAAATGTTTATAACGAGCTACGCTTTGTTATGGAAGCGTGCAGCACAAAGAGACAAATAAAACGTTTCTGCTGGAGGATGTGATTCCATATCGTAGGATGTTTAGTTGGAAGCCTTCTCTCATCAAAGATAAAGGGTCCACTCTGAATCAGGAGAAGGGATTCCTCCCCTCAATGACCCACTCACAATCAGGAGTAACAGAGGTGGAGGCCAACTGATCTCTACTCAGGTCAGGAAATTCAGGAGTATTTTAGAAATTTCAAGTGTGTTTCATACCAAAAGATATAGCCAATGTCATACCTGTTGTAGCAAGCTTCCTGAATGGCCTCAGTTGGGAGAAACAGCTTTAACGTCCTGTTAGAATGATGAGCTAATAGCCAATCTGAGAGTACCCAAGCCAAAAATTAAGTAAAATGGATCCAAATCTCTTAAGTTCACAGAGAAACCACATTTTACATGATATATTTTAAACATGACTGGTCACTCTGAGTTTCATGTGCAGGCTAAACGTGAAAATCGTCGTCTACCTCTTCAAAATAGAAGGAGAAATGCTCAGATTAGAAAAACCACTCAGGCCTATGTCACACTGTAAATTAGCATTCATGGCTTGACCCATCTTGGCTGATGGGTGAGGCCATGTTGGTTTAGCGTCCAGGAAACGGCAGTGAACCGTGCTAGTAGATACTAAAGGGCCATTCCCATCTGCACCGGGTCGGCCCGGGCCGGGTAGCGTAGGTCGTTTACATACCTGGGTGGCCTGGTATTTTTCCGGGCCAACCAAGGCTCATTCTCAGCCCTCTTCTCGAGGGGGTCTGCTTCAGGCCGACCAGGGCCAACACACCCACTGCTGACAGCAAATTCACACCTTCCATTAGAGCAAGCCTCTGATTGGTGGGTAGAATCAGCCCACATGGGCTTAAGGCAAGGATGTGTGGAATTAACCGGGCCAGGCTGGGGCCGACTGGGGCTACCCAGCCCGGCCCGACCCGGTACAGATGGGAATGGCCCATAACTGTTAGCATAGCTACTCCACTAAGTGTTGACCGTTAAGGAAGATTTCTGCAACAAGGGAATCTCTCTTCTTCAGATTTTCATCATTTTCTAAACCATCACTCAGGTGTCAGCTTTTACGTACGTGATTATTTACATGTTTTTGAGTGGTGATTCAAAACCTGGTGGCGATCAGAACCTTCGTAACATTCATTCATCTTCTAAGCATGGTTGTTCCTGATAAGGGTCAAAGGGGAGCTCATGCACAACAGCTTCTTACATCAGTTCAGGCTAATCTAATTTTATAAACCTTCTGTGGAGTCAAATGTTTCCCTTAAGCCTGATTTATAGTTCTCCGTCAGCGTCAGTGCGGAGACACGCAACGCCATTATGCGTCGGCGCAAGGGCTCTCCAACGGGCTCACGGAGGGTGACGGAGACATGCCCAAATGTTTTAGCATTCATCGAAAGTGACAAAGACTGCAAGCTTGTGATTGGTCAGGACGCCACTTCCTGTACATTCGTCACCAGCACTGATGTAGCTCCGTTAAAAAGTAAACAGATATTTAGCGGCAGACCCAGAACATATTGAAGAACGCATCGCAGATAAGTCTGACAATATTAACCTTCATTCACCCACGACTGAAGGAATGCAAAATACGGAGCAGACGTGGTTGGAAATGGCAGAAAATGTGGGTTTAGAGGTACAGACAGCATGAAGAGATGAAGGACAAATTTGTCCGTGTTATAAAGTCTCTGAAATATATAAACACAATAGTAAATACGCTATTGAGGACCAGATGCATGAGTGTTATGGTGGCAGGATACCACAGAACAGCGCTACGCCCTCTGTTGTCCTGGCGGGGAATTGCTTTGCAACGCTCCGCTGCCTGAACAGAAGTTCGAATGTGAAAACCTTTCCGACACTCCGTGTGCGTCTCTCCGCCGCGGAGCTCTCTGAGAAGTACAAACCAGGCTTTACTCTGACAAAAACATGATTTTCAGTTTCAAACAGCTAGCTATGCAGCAAAAAATGAATAAAAATACATCTAAACATTCCTGGTGGTGAAAAGGTTCTTAAAGTTGTGGGTTACTTATTTAGTCAATACATTTGTAGTAGGAATAAAGGCCTTGTAAGTCGTTCTCAGGGGAAACAATATACTGATGCGCCATTACTAGGAACTGAAGTTACCCACATCACAGCTGCACTTCAGACAGCTGGTTTTGAAGTCTTATTCCCTGATATTTGGACATCTGGCCTCAGACTGGATAACAGCAACGCGACACTACCACTAACTTGCAACACTGATGTTTTATCTACATAAATTACACAAACCTGAAGGAGTTTTGCCATGTTTCGGAGTTGCTAATGCTAGCAGCTAGCTTCTGCTGGTCGGGACGTTGTCTGCTGTTTCCGGAACGTTAAACCAACAACAGGCTTCATCACTGTGAGTCAGGATGGGTGAGTCCATGAATGTTAAGTGACAGTGTGACATAGATCTGTCAGGCTTTTCAAATCCTAGTGTTTCATCGCCTATCTTCTATAGTAGATAGGTGTAGTAGAGGTGGACGACGGTGGCACAGGAGTTAAGAGCTCGCCCCGTAATCGGAAGGTTGCAGGTTCGAGTCTCGCTCAGTCTGACGCTGTCGTCGTGTCCTTGGGCAAGACACTTAACCCATGTTGCCTGCTGGTGGTGGTCGGAGGGACCGGTGGCGCCAGTGCTCGGCAGCCTCGCCTCTGTCAGTGTAGCTACATTGTAGCTCATCCCCATCAGTGTGTGAATGTGTGTGTGAATGGGTGAATGACTGGTTGTGTTGTAAAGTGCCTTGGGGGGTTCCAGGACTCTAGAAGGCGCTATATCAAATACAGGCCATTTAAGAGACTATTTTCATGTTCAGCCTGCACGAAAAACTCAGAATGATCGATTATAATCAGAAATCACCATTAACAATATTTTTTCGGTCAGCCACACTTTTAACATGAAGTTAGCCTGAATCGTTGTTAGATTTTAAGATGCTGGGGCTATTTAACGCTGGCTGCAACATGTTCCTTATCGGTGCTAGACTAGCCATTAGCCTATCAGTCTTGTGGGGTGTAAACTCTATTTCTACAAATGAACATGAAATGCGTAAAATATCCTTCATCAGGAGAAAATTAATGACAGCTTAGTCACGTGTTTTCACTCCTATCAGTCGGCTAACCCCACAAAACAACTCATGGGCTCTTATCTCACCTTCACATCGTCACGTCCCTGCTCTACATTTAGTCCTGCGCTTGTGTGCCCTTGGAACGTGTTAGCAAGGTGGCCTAAATAATGCTCCCTCTGCTCCAAATCCCCCCAGTGTCAGCCACATATTCCACTCCACAGTTTCATCTTCCTTTCATGTTTCAGACAGCGGGGTGTTACTGTGAGCAGCATTTTTCCCAGTGACCGTATGACACGTCCCTCTCTATCCAGCTCAGAGTGTGGTGGTGGTGTAAACTTTGCCCTAGAGCAGTGCACATTAGACCTCGGAGACTGTACACTGCTGACACGGTTCTGTTGTACAGTCGCTGTGTATGCACGGTGAGCGTGAAGCTTTTCTGACTGACTGCACACTCACAGAGATGAGATCCAGCCAGGTATCTGCTGCACACAGGGCTGGATAATCCACCCGTCCTCACCTCAATACTGAAGTAGCCCCTGTCCACGTAGTCCCCTAGGAAGAGGTAGCGTGTGTTGGCAGGAGAGCCCCCCACTTCAAACAGCTTCATCAGGTCGAAGAACTGGCCGTGAATGTCTCCACACACTGTGGAGACAGAACAGCAGCATGAAGACCACATGTGCAAGCTCACAAGCGCCGGACGTCTCCTCGCTCCGCTGGCTCCGTATGGCCTGGATTCCATCTGCAGAGGAATATCTGTCCTGACTGCTGATCTAAAAACATCACTCATCTCTCTGATGAAGGAAAAAACACAAAGTAGGTGCGTGCTAGCTCAATAAAGCCTTAAGCCTTTGTTCTCACACTGCCTCTTGGTAAATTAACAGCAAAGAAATATCTCAGCATGTCGATGTGATGCGTCTGAAGCTAGAATACATGACTGAAGACTGACCAGAACTGTAGGTTTTGTGTTTCAGCCACACACCGAGTCCCTCCTGGAGGCTGTGATCGCAACCATTAATGCAATTCAACCAGCTGCAAATTATTCTAGCATGTGCAATTTTAACAAGTCACCCCAACAGTTTTGCAATGACCTCTGTTGTTTTTCTTTCATGACACATTTATTTGTCTTCACTTGGTGAGAATGCAAAGACAGTTAAGCTCACGCAGCATTTTATGAGCTGGGGTAATGGGATTGTATGTAATTTGCATTGACTGTATGGACACACCCTTCACAATATCAACCATAGGTTTCTGAAGAGCTGGATTGAGGCCCAGCGAGAGGTTCTTATCACCGCCATCTTGGCCGTGTCGTGCAAAAAAAAGATGGAGCTGTGTGTGTGTGTGGGGGGTGGGGGGTGGGGGGGGGGGGGGTAGATGATTGACACCTATCAAACTCTGAGCTGATGTAGCTATGAGCTAACGGAAGCTAACGGAGGTAAATGGGTGCTTTTACATAGAAAACTATGGTTGAGCGATTCCGCCACCTTCTGCCTTCTAGGCTGTAACACTTCTAGGCTAAGGCTTTCCTGGAGCAAGGACAACAAGCTACTTGTGCTAGCGCTGTGGGCTCATCTCACACCTGTCAATCACAAGGACACGCCCGTTATAACTCTTTTTAACCTTTATTTACGTTTAAAGGGTTGAGTAACAAAGAAATTCACCCACATCAAAGTCATGACAATAAACTTGTCCTTTAGGGAGCCTAAGCCTTCTCCTTCCGCATCACGGGTCCACGAAAGAACAAAAAAGTGAATGCAAGTCAACGGGGCTAAAAACGCTATTTCCTAATTCTGCTTGTTTTGTGCCATGGGTTTCACGTATGATGTCCGTGAATTTTAAAGACACACTTTGATACCAAGAATGCACTTATTTTCGAACGGGGGAAACGCTATTTTAGGTTTTGTGTAAAAATAAGTCCAGACCTAAAAATGCGCTTCACAAAAGAGACGTCATCGAACCAGACACGGAGAAAACTGAGGGGAAAGGGCTGTAAGTTCAGCAAACTTCCCACAAGAGGAAAGAACCACCATAAATCTGGTCATTTGGTAAGTAGCAGCTACGCTAGGGGAGAGGAGATGATGTGGTGACGTAACATATGCGACGTGACGATTTCCGGTGTGTAGACTTTAATTCATTTTTTCGTTCTTCTGGAGACCCATGGTCTGGAAGTATGGGTCACGGGTCACCAGAAGAACGATAAAATGAATGCAAGTCAACGGGGCTAAAAACGCTATTTTCTAATCCGCTTTGCCTTACGCCCTGGATCACACATATGTTGTACTGCAATTTAAATGAAAACTCATAATGGGTGTTTGACCATGTCTGTCACGTACTTTGAGATTTATCAGCTTGTAAAAGTTTGTAATTAGCATGACTCCAAATTAGAAATCGGCACATCGCATGTGCGACGTCACTACATAATCTCTTCTCCTCTAGCGTATAGCTGCTATTTACCTAATGGCCAGATTTATGGTGGTTTATTCCATCTGAAGGGAGGATTTTAAGTTCGCTAAACTTACAGTCATTTTCCCTCTGTTTTTCTCTGTGTCTGGTTCAATGACGTCACTCTCATGGTGCGTATTTGTATCCTGGACTTATTTTCACACAAAACCTAAAATAACGTTTCCCCCTGTTTGAAAAATAATCGAGTTCTTGGTATCAAAATGCGTACTTAAAATTCACGGACATCATAAGTGAAATCTATGGACATAACAAGCGGAATTCCCATTGACTTGCATTCATTTTTTCATTCTTCCAGGGCCCCATGATCTGGAAGTGGATCCACTACTTCACTTCCGGTCCCCTACGACCCAAAAAATGAATTGAAGTCTATGGAGGGATAACAGTAATTTTCTGAAGCCGTTTGATATGGGCCATGGATTTAACGCATGCTTTTCTTGTAATTTAAAGACACATTTTGATACCAAGAAAGCACTTATTTTACAATGGGGCAAAAGTTATTTTAGCTTTTGTGAAGACATATTGGACTACAAAAATGTACGTCTCACCAATCTGATGTCATCAAACCAGACACGGACAAGGAAAAATACCTCTGAGTTTAGCGAACTTTAAATCCTTCTTCTAGGATGATAGAAGGAGGGTTAAATGCAGAGAAAACCACTATAAATCTGGCCATGTGTAAAGAAGCAGCTATGCTGGGGAGAGAAGAGATTCCGCTGTGATGTCAAATGTGCGACATCTGATTTGCAATGGCGCCCCCCAAGGGGTGGCCAGGGGTGGACATGGCCACCCCTAGAAAATTGCTGCCCCCCCCCCCAAGCAAAAACCAGTGTTAATATACCATCTTAATGTTCACTCAAGCCATACATTGATTTTATTTATTCAATACAAAATTGTAAAACAAAATGAAATAATATGAATAATGAGTAAATAAATAATCCGAATAAAAATAAAGTGCATATGTTTCTGCTGCTCACCATTTAAAGGTGATTTAAATAAAAAAATACATTTTAAAAATAAAATTAGAATAACATTTTAAACAACTGAAATACATTTTTCTGAAATGTTTGTGTTTGTCAAACTTAAGTTAAATGTTTTGGATATGTACAGCTTTTTTTATAATAAAAACAAATAAAGGAGCAATGCTAGGGCTGGGCAATAAATCGAAAATTTATCGTTATCGAAATTTCTGACTCTTATCGTGATAATTTTTCCCATGTCAATACATTTGATAACACAAAAATGAAAAGATGTGTGTAGGTTTGCTACATTCATGAACCTTTAAGAAGCTGTACCACCTTGAGCCACGTGAAAATGTGACTCAAAGTAATACATGTGACAGCCCCATCTAGTGGACAACTTTTGTTTCTGCGCATACCTGCAGTTATCGTCCATTTATCGCTATCGAGGCGAAATCCTCAATATATCGTGATATTGATTTTAGGCCATATCGCCCAGCCCTAAGCAATGCAATACATCGCCACAGGCTAAACCCTCCCGGAGTTACCACCAAGGCCAATTTGGTGTGCAACCCCAAAAATTTCTTTGACCTCATCTGGCCGCCCCTATCAAAATTTTCTGGAGGCGCCCCTGCTGATTTGTAGTCGTTTAATTTAACATATCTCAAAGTATGTGACAGAGATAGTCGAAACACTCACATAATTTGTTTTCATTTAAAAATTGCCTATTAGAGCTGAAATTAATTATCTTTTTAATTCATTTGAAAGATTATTAAAGTCGCTGTCAAATTATTTCTTTTATCTGATGGCAACATCTAGTGGCTGACTAGCTGCGTGTCACATCTTGATCTACTTTCATTCCCTTATTTACGGCCGAAAGCAACGCCTCTAGTTCATGAATGTGCTGCTCTAGACAACAAAACAGAGCTAAACACGTTTTACAATTATTATGCCCACGTTATGTTGTGTATTCATATGTTTATGTATTTTAAAGACTTGTCCACGAGTGAGGTCGCCAACCTGCATCAACTGAGGTACGTCCTTAAACGCTTGAGCACGCTCTGTGATTAACGTCTGTCCATTAGCGTAGTGGTTGGTGCTCAGCACATTGCATTGAGCTCTATAGAACAGGGGCGGGCTTAGAAAAAAAAGACGTATTTCTTACATTATATCACAGTACACGATAAGCATACATAATTCCTGAAAGGGGAAAACTCCGGACACCAACTTTAAATTTACACGAAGACTTTCAGTTGTTTTTCCTTAACAACATGGCTGCACGCTCAACAACTCTTTTATTAAGACCTCAAGATCGTCTGTCTGTGAAATCCGCCAGCATCCTTCTTACCATCGGCCTCCTCCGCCATCTGTCTGGTCTCTTCTTTCTCTTTTAGTTGATGTCATAGTTCCTCTCCTCAGCATCTTACGGTGGCCATTTGCATCTGTCTGACGGGTATTGTCTATCTGTTTCTCACTGTGTTAACGTCTGATTTCACCTCTGCTCCTGATGCTTCTGCGGGGAATCGGGACTAACATATCGATCCACACCTGTCAGCTTCATCAAACCCCAAATCAGATTTCAGCTCAGAAGTGTTGAAATCTTTCAGAACACTTCATAAACCCCAAGATTTGTATTCAAGTCAGTTTTATCCGACAGGACATTCTTCGGTGCATTCTCAGACATGTGTTTCAGGGCCTGCAGACGTGGAGGAACTTGGCAACAGAGGATCAATATGTTGCTCGCCGGGAGTGAAAAAAGTTGGAGAACCTCTGCACTAAGCCGCTTATGATCCACCGTCTCTCCATCTGTCTGTCCTCGTCCTCGGGGATCTGTACCTGTGAAGGCTGAGCGATGACTCCACACTGTGTGGGCACAGTGGCCCACGCAGAATTATCTCACCACTCGCATTTGCATAAACGCACACACACACACAGACACACACAAGCTAAAAGTACGTTAACCACAGAGTCAATAGGTTGTGGGAGCCTGAGTCTGTCCGCCTGCTTGTCTGCCGGCGCTTCACAAGCTTGTTTTTATCTTGTCCTCTCTTGGATGTTACCCTCAGCTCACATCATCGTTAGAGTAGGGAAGCACACACAGTAGTGTGGTCGTTAAATGCTGCTGTGTGAGTGTCCAGAGTTTCCTCAGTCGACGCTTCATTTTATTGCTTCAGTAATAAATGAGTCTGAATCACTAAGTCTGACCTCTTCGTGACTTTTCTGACCCTTTTCTGCTGCTTTCTGAGAGCCCCTGAAACTTTTCAGCACTTTTGTAGAAATTTAAACTTATTTATTTATAACAAAGGAGTCAGCGTTTCCTGAAGAAATCTATTCCACTCCCAGATTAGGCCAGTTTGAACAAAGACCAGCTTAGTTACGTTTGTTTTAATGAAATAATGTTGAACACAACCCGTGTCCTCTGCGAGGGCAGGCCGGGGGGCGCATGTGTCCGCCTCATCACCCGTTTCTTTCACATGGGAGCGCCGTAGTGGCTGCATGTCCGCAGTCGGCCTTTCCCGTTTACGTGTTCTATGTGCTGTATCATGTCTGCTCTTGGAAAGGCTGCTGAAACGATGTTTTGTTGTTCCGGGACGCTGGTTCAATGACAGATAAAGCTATTCATTCTTTCATTAGGTGTGTTTCCACCGTCAGAGCATCAGGCTAACTTTACAGAAACTTCCCGGCACTTGAGTGCCTGAGCCTCCACTTGACCGGGCAGTTTTCTGGAACTGGAGTACCTGATCGGGGGTAGGTACTTGGATTCATGGACGTGAATCTGTAGACGTCCCATTGGGTGCTGGAGGGCGTAACAGCGTCGCGGCCATTGAGGAGGGGATCCTCACGTTCCAAACCCAACTGGAGTCAACACAGCGTGAGCAACTATCCCCGTTTTGCAGCCAATGGTTGCAACGACCGGCACACTATTGAAAACCGATCACATGGGATTACTATTGACTTTTCCAGCCTACGTTAGGATTTAGTACTTTAATTTATTTTGTTTTATTTTTTTATTTAATTATCATGCCCAAAAATGTCTGACTGTGAAAAAGCATATTAAAATGTGACTTTTAGTTGGGCAAACACCTTCCTCAATAGAAATAAATGCATTGGGGGTGAATGGGGATCCATCCAAGATGGCAGCCCACTGCCACATCAGCTCTAATAGGCAGCACCAGTCCACAGAGGGTCGTATCTCATATCTGTCCTCGGAATAGGGAGCCTAAGTCAGGACCATCTACTTCCAGACCATGGATCTCTGGAAGAATGAAAAAATGAATGCAAGTCAATGAGTCTAAAAATGCAAATTTCCAATCCCATTTATTATGTGCCATGGATTTCACACGATGTCCGTGGATTTTAAAGATGCATTTTGATGCCAAATAAGCTCTTGGCAAATGTTATTTTAGGTTTTGTGTGAAAAAATGTCCAGGACCACCAACGCGCATCACCAAAGTGACGTCATCGAACCAGACATGGGGAAAAACTGCGGGAAAATGGCTGTAAGTTCAGCGAACTCCAAATCCTTCCCTCAGGAGGAAGAGCCACCATAAATCTGGCCATGTGGTAAGTAGCAGCTACGCTAGGGGAGAAGAGATTCTGTGGTGACGTCACATATGTGAGGTACCGACGTCTCATTTGCAGTCATGCTAATTAGGAACTTTTACAAGCTGATAAATCTCAAAGTGCGTGACTGAAACACACATCCTTGCTTTTCATTTAAATTGAATTACAACATATGTGCGATCCAGGGCCTAAGCGGATTAGATCATTTCTTTTTTGCCTTGTTGACTTGCGTTCGTTTTTTTGTTCTTCCAGTTACCCGAGAGCCGACCAGAAAGTGAGGAGACTTAGGCTCCCTGTTCCCCCACATTGCTGTTACTAAGCTCCACAATGATGTAATTCACTGGGCTTTGTAGTCTCAGAGCTTCTTCTGGCCATTGAACGCCACATTTTACACCACCTAGTGCTTTTTGTGTTCCTAATGGATTCAATTATGATGTACTTCTACAGAATAAAACTTTTACTGTCACCGTGGATGCTTTTTGGCACTGATCACTCACTGCCAAAGCTGACGTCTGCACAAAGTCCTGAAAGGGCTGAATTTGAATGGAGATACAACAGCTGAGAGGACTGAGACATCGTATCTCCCGCTCAATTTCCCCTGAAGTTTCGACAATGGAAACACACCAATTCATTCATTCATTCATTCATTCAACACAAACTTCTGCAATCACACTCAGTGTGTGTTGTGAAAGACTCAGCTACACATCAAAGATTAGCCCCAAATCTGCTAAACTGACTGGATTTGAGGAAGTTTTGTGCTTTTTAAGGCTGATTGGTTATGGTAGCCATCTTGCTTTGACCTTAAGGGGTTCATTAGACGTTAAGCCAACACAAAATAACAGAGTAATATACAATAATAAACAAGAAACTGGATGTGAATATCTCATGCCTCCTAGATTGGCATCCAGTAGCACCGTACCCGTGACTGGCGCCTCAATATCCAACATGGTGCGCTCCTGGCGCAGGATGGCGGCGCCCTCATCGATGATGCGCAGGGCCACGGCTTCCTCCAGACGGCCCTCCTTGGTGAGGTGAGCTTTGAGCAGGTCCACCCTCGGTCGGCCGTCTGAGTCAAACACCTCCTTCATGGTCAGGCGGTGGGCCAGGGGGAAGGGGACCGCTGGAACCAAAGGTGGAGAAGGAGGGGGTTAACCAGGCTGATGCTTGGGATAGACAGGAGTGTGAGTGTGTGTGTGTGTGTGTGTGTGTGTGTGTGTGTGTGTGTGTGTGTGTGTGTGTGTGTGTGTGTGTGTGTGTGTGTGTGTGTGTGTGTGTGTGTGTGTGTGTGTTGTATTGAAGTTAAATCTATCAGAGCTCTGTTCTGCTGTAATGTCTTTCTTACATAATGAAGGCCCCCAGGGCCTTGCTGGAGAATGGGCTGGACTCATGACGAGTGTGAGGCAGCAAGAGTGTTCAGCTGCACGTGAGGATGCGTACACACACAGACACACACACACACAGACACGTACAAGCTCATAAAAGGTATTGTTATGCAGGATCCACAGAGCCTGTGAGCCCCACCAGTGCTAACACAGATAATGGCCTAGATCACACACTAAAACTAGGCCTGCCCCCCCCACACACACACTTTAGCTGTCACTTTTCTCTCTGATTTGCACCCTCCTCCGTTGTCTCTCCTCCGGTTTTTCCTTCTCCATCTTCCTGTTGCTACAGCGAGAACCGGTCTCCTCTCTGAGCTGTCTCACTGACTCCTCCTGGCACAATTTAACGCGACAAACACAATCTAATGGTTTTAGTTATTTCAGCAAAAGAAGCCTGTCAAAAGCAACAGAGAAAGACTGCACCGTGTGTGTGTGTGTGTGTGTGTGTGTCACTGAGAGCATCTTGGAGCTGAAAGAATGTTTCAATAAATTCTGGTTAAATCTCCCAGAATTAACACACAACTGCATGTATTTTGTGTAACTTTGAGAACTTTTGGGTCAAATTCTAAATAACTGCACAGATTAGGGTTATCCCAAAACACTTTTTCAACCGAAACCCATTTCAGGCTACATTAATCCTTCTGGGACCCAGGAAGAATGGCTTGGTTGCATTTTCGGATACCTTAAAGTACCAACGGTGCCTCGAGGCTCTGTAAGATCACAAGCCATTGCGTTTATGACACATTTAGGTGCCTTGAGGTTAAACGCAATGTGCAGGAGCACCTTGAGAAGTCCCAGGACACCTCGAGCAGCTCGGCTTCAGGGCTCTGTTTCCCATCAAGTCCAAACAGTAGTGAAACTGGTTTTTGCATAACGAGCAGGGACTGATTAATATTTGAAAAGATTTTAGGCACCACAGGCTGTCGGGGAGCTCGAGCCAATAGAAGAATTACTCATGCATGTTGGGATACGTGTGACTTCATACATAAAATAAAACAGCAGTCCACCTTCACTCTGCTGTCATACACTCTAGTAATTACTGTGCTAGAGAATGAGCACCTTAGTAGACACCACAGAAAAAAGGTTTCACACGTGCAATTTTTAGTTAGAAGTCAAACAAGGGTGTGTGTGTGTGTGTGTGTGTGTGTCCCCGCTTAAGCAATAGACTGAAGAAGAGGAGCTGAAGCACGAGTGTGTAGAGGAGTAGGAAGTAGGGCAGGTATGGGAGCAGCATAGACACGGAGCTCAGGGAAAGGAGCTAAACTTGGGAAAACTACACATGGCAGATATAATTTACGGAGGAGAAAAGACTCAGACTAATGCCATCAGATCACCTCAAACATAATTACGATAGATAACTGCTAACTCCTCTTAGTAAACGAACATATGCTGTGGTATGAGTCAGTGCCTTGTGAGTCAGTTTCTACTGGCAGAAGTTAGTTAGGGAGATGGAAGGATTACAAGTCTCAATAATATTCATGATGCTAACGCTCTGATTGGCCAACAGCAACACGACACGTCCACGTCCTCCGTTAACATAACTCGGAAAACTGTACGGTTAGACCAAAGTGTCACACAGCCTTATTTATCTCATCCTGACTCTAGGGAGGGAGGAGAAACAGCAGAAGAACTGTTTCCTGATTGTTTATTGACAAAAGTTTCAGAATGGTAACAAATGCATTTTCTCCTAAAAGAGCAGAACATTTGTGGTGATCGTCTTAAAGTTGTGGAACACTGAAAACCCTCTTTTAATGATTATTTCTGATAATAATCGATCATTTAGAGTTTTTCATGCAGGCTGAACAATAAAATAGCTTCCTACACCTATCTGCTGCATTAGCTTCTGATAGAAAACAGACGGTGAAACTCTAGGATTAGTAAAGCCTGACAGATCTACGTCACACTGTCACTTAACATTCATGGACTCACCCGTCTTTACTCACAACGGGGAAGGCTGTTGTTGGTTTAGCATCCAGGAAACAGCAGAGAACATCTCAGCTAGTAGAAGCTAACCATTATCATTAGCAACTCCGCCACACAGCAGAACTCCTCCAGACTTGTGTTATTTGTGGAGATAAAACGTCAACATTGCAGAGCAAACAGAGTCCGTGGTGGAGTCGTGTTGCTGTTGGCTAATCAGAGATGAGATGTCCAAATATCAGGGAAGAAGACTTCCAAACCTGCTGTGTGAAGCTACTTTCTCTTCCATTTGATTACTGGAGTACTTCCTGCTTCCGGCGCATATGAGATCCCTCCCAGTACAACTTACAAGGCATTAATTACTACTTGAGTCTACTGCAAATGTATTGATTAGCAGGTGTTCAACACCTTTAATGCTCGAAGTTGCAGTAAACATATGCTACCGGTTAGCTTCTACTAGCTGAGACGCATTCTGCCCTCTCCGGGTTACTAACTGTTTGCAGTTTCAAGCCAAGCCAGACAAGGAATGCTAATTTTCCCTGGGTCGTAGAGCAGTGAGACGTTTTCCGACCCATTTGTTTCCACTTCCATATCCTTTCTGTGGCTAATGCAGGTGAGTATTTTCACGTTCGACATGCATGTGCAACTCAGAGTGACCGACTGTATTTCAAAAAGAAAATAATTAACAACCTTACATAAACAAGCGCGCGTACGCACACAGGTGCTCACATGGTGATCTCATAAGTATGGACCTGGGCACGTTCAACACATGTTGGCTGTGGTTGGCACTAAATACACTGTGATTTATTATCGTGTGATTGTTCAGTTAAACAATGTTGATTTTATGTTTCCTCATCAGGTTGATGCAGTGATAGCTTGCTCTTGTTGTATTGTTGTTGTGTCCCTCTTTTATTTATTTATTTGGTTTGTTTTTCTCTTTCTGCAGGTCTAGAAGCAGACTCTTGTTCATCATTGATTGTTTACTTTTGTGCCCCCCCCCCCTTCCTTTTGTCTCTTCCTTTCTCTCTCACCTCTGTCTCTGTGTCCTGTCGGAAGTATAAAGCATCCAAAAAAACAATAACATTAAAGTTTTAAGTATCAGGCGTGACATTAAAGCAGAAGCTGCCTGTGTGGGACGGGCTATGGGCTGTGAAGGTTGGCAACTAGCTGGAGACATAAAATCACAAGAAAATATGCAGATTTTCAATTGGAATCCTACTTTTGTGACAATTTTTTATTCAACCAGGTCACGTGTGACATGAACCACGATTGAATTTCATCCTCATTTGTTAGCGGTTTTCCAACATTTTTCTCAAGAGTTCTCTCACATTTCTTGTGTCTTCTGACTCACAGAAACTAAGCTGGAAAAGGCTTCAGCTCTGTGATTATTTAAAGAGAAAACCGGTTTTGCTAATTCCTTGAACCGGTTTGAAATTCACGCAACTTGACAGCGAGGCCCTTCAAGGAAACTCAGAAAGCCTTGCACATGTTTCGAGAAATTTAAAATTAATTCCTGGGAACGCTGTTAGCAATTTGTCACCAACATTCACAGTTGAGTGAGCTACTTTCAGATGAAAGTTGTAGGTTCTGTCTGTGCGAGGTACTCTGGTGTTCTCCCACAGCCTAAAGACAAGCCTGACAGCCTCATCTGGTCACTAATCGAGCACCCTTCCTGTTAAATCAATCCTCTGTTTGATTTAACAGGAAAAGCTGATGTTTGCCTACATAGTTTTGCTTCCCTTTTGCCTTTTTAGTCACGTAAAGTGACACATAACAGCAGGTGTACAACAATAAGGGTCTAATTGGTTCCAGTTTCATTTTCTCTGAATAGAAAATTAGTTTTTGTTAAAAAAATTAACTCAACATGCTGCTCCAACTGGAACGTGCCACTGAGCTAATGCTGAAAAATTTAACCTTCATGTTCACCTCACCCTGTTTGGTTTGTATTCCACAACAACAACAACTTATATCAACAAATCAAAAACATAAATAAATAAACAAACTGTGTATGAATCACCTTCTGTCACTGAAATAGCTGCTAGTGCTTCCATTCATCCAAAACATAAACAGTGGCTGCTCCATTTCCCATGCAAACAGCACACTGTGTACCAAACTCAAACTATAGAACAATTCCACCTTTACCTTTCAGCACCAGGTGCAGCAGTTTCGGTTAAACAGCAAGGTGTTTTATAATAAACAGTTGTACGTTGGGTTTAGTGGAGTTGGCATATTTGATTACGTCAATTAAGCGTTTGATTTTTTTAGAGTACAAAACTGTCCCTTTATCATAGCAAAGTGCAACTTGTAAAGCTGAGCCTTTAACCTTTTTGTACAACCCGAACCTACACTAACAAACCATAAAAGTTATTCAAATCAATGCCTGTGAGCT